ATTTGGGAAATTTTCCATTGCTTTCTGTAATTCCAAACTGTTCACTATGACAAAAACACTTTTTCATATCAAGAATTTCCTGGTGATTTTGTACGGATGTAAGTCATGAAATAATAGATCTCATGTGAATTAACATAATCCTAGCCTAAAGGGTAATTTATTACCCATGGATAACATAAGCCAACCACATTATGCTATCAAATATGACTTGTATATGAGAAGTAATATGGTACAATGTATATACTTAACACCTTTTTATACATATGAAAATATTTAACATCATTAACAACACCTATATACAGGACAATAAAAATTTTTTTTGAGGCAATTGGGGTTAAGTGACTTGCCGAGGGTCACACAGCTAGGAAGTATCAAGTGTTTGTTCTGAGGTCACATTTGAACTCAAGTCCTCCTGACTTCAGGGCTGGTGCTCTATCCACTGTGCCACCTAGCTGCTATGAGAAGCGATATGAGACATTACAAAGGGCATATACCACTGGGAAAGGATATGAGCCAGTTATTTAACAAAAATGCTGTAAAAATGATGGATAGCTCACATGGTATGTTTGTTACCTATTGTATACTAAACAAATAAAAAAGCTTTTTTAGGATAATTGTTTAACTATTTCACAAAAAGTATTTTGTTTAAAAAAATGGAGGAGAATTTTACAGCTTAAGAAGGCACGAAGAAATGGGTTTTAATTTGTATTAGTTTGTGGACTAGAAAAAGTGATGAAATCACAGATTCATGAAAACAAAAACTTTGCTCCTAATTCTCAAGCCTTCTTTTTGCCAACCACCTTGCCTAACATGTTATTCTTTATCTCTCCTTGCACCAGCCCCCTTCCCACCTCTCAAATCTAGCTAGAATCTTGAACTGTGATCCAATCAACAGTACAATTTTTCCTAGGGCAATCTACTTCCCTCCAGAGTTGTACTCACCATGTCTTTGACTTTCAAACCAAAGTTACCCTAGTGGGTATTCCTTGTGTATTTTATCTCTCTCATCAATATAAAATCCTTAAAGAGAAGGTAATGTACTTCCTTTTGTATTTGTATCTTTAGAGGTTTATCATAATTTTTGCCCCATAATAAACACTTCATTTATGCATTTCTCCTTCACTCATTAAAAAAAATGAAAAGTAGATAGGCTTGTTTTTTATTTTCATTTTGTCCCACATTAAGTCCTGACTATGATAGGAAATTGGGTGGAACTTATAGAGGTAATCAATTGGTTCATCAACCATGGGCCTGATGAGGTCTATATGTTTAGGGGTGCTGGGACTTCAAGATCATGACACTCAGGGCCTGCCTGGATGAAATAAACCCAAATCTTCTTTCAGCCAGAGAAGAGGTTTATTAGAGATAAGCCATATAGGCCAGACTCTTAAGGAATCTGAACATGAGTGATGCTTCTAAGGATGAGAGGGCAAGAAAGTCTCAGCATTTAACTGGGGGATAGGGTGGATCTTATAGACACTCAAGCAATTTTGGGTGACCAGAGGATGGGTGGCGAAGAGGAACTGGGTGACTGGGGGAGGAGTTTAAGGAGAATGGGAGTGACTGGGTAGGGTCACCCAGGAATAGACAATGAAGAACTAGGCTTTTATCAGGGTGACAAAGAACTGGAAGAGGTTGATAAGATCAAAGGTGGGATCAAAGACTAGGCTTCTTTCTTAGGATTTCAAGGACAGACTTCTTAGAGAGATAGAGGAAGAACAGAATAAGAATAAGAGAGAAGGAAAGGCCAGTTGAATCAAGTATAAGGGTTTTCTGGGGCCCATAGACAAATGGGAGCCAATTTCTTTTTGGAGAAAGGGGGAAAGGTCTCAGCTTGGGCCCATACCCTATCAGGCCCACATTGTGAAAGGACAATTAACTGGCTACCAGGATTTAATAGAAGAAGGAGAGTAGACCAAATTACCTTTGGGAAATTGTACAGTGCATTTAAAGACTCCCAGGTTCTCCCAGAAACAAAGGCCCAAAATTTGAATTTCACTATTCTACTGCTGATGGTGAATTTCTGCATCATATACTAACTACTAATATCTCTACCCTCCATAATCATTTTTCTGTTTTTGTTTAACTTTACCAAATGCTATTTTGAGTGTTATTTAAATGTAAACATTTATTGATACATAATGAAAGAAATAATCATATATTCATGTTTGACTTATTGGAACTTTGAATTTCAATGGTTTCCATTAAAAACTGGACAATTAGAAGCTCATTCCTCATGTTAATTTTGTATATACTTAGTATCAACTTTGTATATATTTGGTATCAACTTATTTGTGTCCATGTCTCCTTGATAGTTCCTTGAGGATAGGGATCCTTTCATTTTTCTCTTTGTATTTCCAATGCTTAGCATAGTGCCATATGCCTAGCGAGTGCTTACTAAAGTTTGTTGGAATGGGAGGGGAAGGATTAAGCATTTATATAGCACTTATTATGTGCTGTGCACTTTATGACTATCTCATTTAATCTTCGCCACAATCCTGTGAGGTAAGTTCTGTTGTTGGACATATCCAGGGTGACTATCTAGTAATTTTCTGAGGTAGACACCTAGATGCCTCAATTTGATTGATTGTTAAAAGTTGTGCATCCTTAAGCCTGCAATGGAAAGATGCGTGATGGATTTGAGGAAGTTGTAAGTTTGACATCACTTTGTGTTTGTAGCATATTATTAATAAGGAATTATTTATATGAAGCAGCATAAGGGACATCATTAAAGTGTTAGATGCCTATTAAAGAAGTTAACCTTGTCATGTTATCCACACAATTTCAAGAGATCCAAATTAAGTGCACTGTTATTTCATTTGGACCCTCATTAGAGGATTCTTGGGAGTATATGGGAAAGAGTTATAAAAAATAAAATGCATGGATGAGTCATTATCTACATTATCTACACAAGGGAGAGAATACTTGTAACGATAAGAAAATAGATCCACTATAGTATTAAAACAGAAAAGCTTAAAACTCAATTGGAATGCTTCTTAATCTATAGTCTAGAGATCCCTAAAATATATGTGAATACACACACACATACACATGTATGTAATGTACATACACACATTTATGTGTGTTTATATACATATATGCATATTTATATGCATAAATATGTGTATGTCCATATAAATACTCATGCGCACACACACACACACACACACACACACACATATATATATATATATATATATATATATACATATATATGTATATATTCAACATAATTGATTTCCTCTGCAATACCAAGTAATTTCTTTTATGCATTTAAAAATGTGTTTCTGAGGAGGGGTCCATCAGCTTCCTCAGACTGCTAAAGGACCTCATAAAACCTTGAAAGATGAAAACCTCCTGCTCTATAGGAATCACAGGAATATCAACTTGATTTAACTTGAGTTAAAAGTTACTTAGCTTCTATAAAATCTCCTTCTTCATGGTCTACTGCAAGTCATCTTTCAGTTCTCTGAGTGCTTAGCCCCCTTTCCTCAGGTCTTTATAAGGGATTAGAGATCAACAGCCTGAGCTGGGCTGAAGCTAAGAGATAGCATGGGAAAAATTCATCAAGTAAAAGCACAATTTTCACCGTATTAAACCTAGCGAACATTGGCTTTAGGAGATAATTGCCCCTCAAAAAAGAAGCGGTCTTTATACAGATTATTAGAGTAAGTATAGTAGTAGAAGTATAGGTATAATCAATTAATTTGGTGTTCAATTTTCATGTAATTCTTAGGGTAAAGATATCCTCATAACCCTGTTTACATGTTTCATTATCACCATTTTAAAACAACATTTTATTTCCCTCAGTTACAATTTAAAACAATTTTTAATATTTTTTTAAAGTTTTGAGTTTCAAATTCTATCCTTCCCTTCCTCTCTTACCTCCCTGAGACAGTAAGCAATCTAATGTAGGTCACACATGTGCAATCATATAAAACATTTCCATATTAGTCATTGTGTAAAAGATAACTTAAACAACAACACAGAATGAAAGAGAAAAATACTATGCTTCAGTTAAGCTATTTGATATCCTTATATGCTCTTAATGTTGATGTTGTTTTTTTCAGGTTGTAAACTTCTAGAGGGCAGGGCCAGATGTGACACTAGTTACTTATAAAGAAGGCATTATGCAACACATTAATTTAAATGACACTATATTAAGTTTAAGAAAACAGAGGATATTAGCTTATATTCTGAAGTCTCAGAAATAGGCTAGAATAAAATTACTAACTTCCCCCAGCCCTATTCTTTCTTATTCCTTCCAATGTTATTACATTTTTCCATGCTTTACTTTTAAATTTTGCCTATTGAAAGGAAAAGAAATTTCAAGGTAAGAAAACATAAAGAATACTGGTTCTGGAATCAGAGGTCTTGGGTTCAAATATCACCTCTTGCTTAGTACCTATGAGACCTCAGTAGCCTCTCTGGGCCTCAGTTTCCTCATCTATAAAATGAGTGAGTGGAATTGAGGGGCCTCAAAGTTCACTCAAAACACACATAACACAATCTTTTAATATTCATTTTAAAAAGAAAAAAAACTTAGAAAAAAATTCAGTTCTCTCATGATTCATAACTAGACATGAGGCACAACACCCATCAGAAGAAAAAGAAAACTAAAAAAAAAAGAGGAATGTGATTGAAATTTTAAAATAAAAACCATGAATAAATGGTGTTGTCTGCCTTCTAATTTAATGGAACGATTAGCCTCTCCCTGCTTTGTTCATGGGAATCAAATTAAGTTTATTGCATGAACAACTCCAATCTAGAATTTTTTTAAAAGAGTATTTAGCAAATAAATTCTGCTTGAAAGGAAAACTTTGGAAATCCCTTTCCTTGTCTTAATGCCAGAACTTAATTTTCCCCACGTGTCACAAAGTAAACTCAATCTTCTAATCACCATATTGAGAAAACAAACCTAGAATCATCATTTGGCCATGTGTTTCATCTGCCTAAAACAATCACAGAATTTTAGAATTTGAGATATGGAAAGGACTTACCTCCACGTCTATTTAGACTGACACATTCACAAAGGGAATTCCCACTGTAACTTTCCAGATGTGACAAATGCACAGCTTCTTGTAGAAAATTTCCAAGGAGAGGGAAACTAACCCCTCTTGAGACAGGCCGTTCTACTTCTTGACTGTTCTAATTGTTGGGAAGTTTTTGTTTTCACTGACACCAAACCTAATTCTGACTTTTTCTAACTTCCTTTCATTGTTCCCTAGTCTGTCTTCTGGTGCCAAATGTAAATGCAGTTCCTCTTCTACATAACAGCATTGCCCATATTTGATGATAGCTAGAGTTCTCCTCTCTAGCTCTTCTTTCTACCCCTCCCAGTCTTCTCCAGGTTAAATATGTCCAGTTCTTTCAGCTAAGCCTCATACATGATGGCCTGAAGGCTCTTAGCTCTACTGGTTGCTTTTTTTTTCTTTTTTTTTTTTGGGTACAATTCCCAGTTTGTCACTTTCCTGCTTAAATTATGGCTGCCAGGAATGAACACAATACTCTAGGTGAGTCCGACAAGGACAGAGTACTGGGAGTCTATTACTTCCCTATTGAGCCCCTCAATGCACTCTGAGATTGCATCAGCATTCTTGGATTCCAAAAAACACTCTATGATAATTTAGATTAAGCTTCTATCTCACTAAAACACCTCTTTCTTATCTCAGAATAATTTCTATTTAAACATACCTCCTCCATCTTCTACTTGTTAATTTCTTGTACCTAAACTCAAGACTTTACATTTCTCCCTCTTGAATTTCTTATTAGCTTCTGCCCTGTGTTTCATACTGTTGAGATGCTTTTGGAAACTGAGTTTTCACTCATTGTATTGGCTATGCCTCCCAATTTTGTGTCATCTGCATTGTTTACAGGTTGTATTTTGTTTTACTAATTTCAGCTTCTATTAGGGAACTTGTCTCAGCTTGCTCTCATGGTGTTTGATCACTCAAACAGGCATTATTATTATCTAGGTCCAAAACCTCACTTTGCAGAGTGCTTGGATACTTGGGAAGACACAAATTTTAGAGCTTGTAACAAAACTTCACTCTAAGGAATATGATATGTTGCCTTCATCTGCGAAGGGGTTTGAGAATTCCATGGTTCTCAAAACTGATAAGCAAATCAGAACTCAATTCAATCTTTTCAACAGTTCATTTTTACTCTGGATTATATACATGTGTATATGTACATATATATGTACTCCAGAGTGCCTATAGATAGAATGTATGTTTGTATATCTATACATATCCACATATAAACAAATAAGGATATACAGAGACATAGATTACATACATGTATATGTATGTATAAATACATGAATAAAAATAGACAATGGTCTAATAATTGTTTCCAATTCAGTGGGGTACCAAGGAACTTAGTAACATTTTTGACATACATGCACATTTACCTAACTTGTTTAATAGTTGTAGGAACTTCCAAAAATAAATTACACTTCAACCTCGAGTTATATCCTCATTTTCTACATTGCAGCTTAACTTTAAAATTGCAACTTTAGAATTTCAAATTAGCATTTACTGATATGATAATGGATAGTGTTTATAGAATGTCTTACATATATTATCTTTTGATCCCCATAATAACCCTATAAGGCAGATGATATTATAATTCTCATTGTAGAAATGAGAGAATTGAATATGAGAATGCTTAAATAACTTGCCCAAGGTCAGTCAGTTAATAAGTATCTGAAGCAGGATTGAAATTCAGGTCTTTCTCACTTCATGTCCAGTATTTTGTCCCTGTGCTACTTAGCTACCTAGTATGATGTGAAAGCTTTATTAAATCTACAGAGAATTAATCTCAGCTGCCCCAAATGTTTAATCTGCACTCTGGTGAGTGTTCTTTGCTTATCTTATGCATTACATTAAATAAATGTAAGCATTACACTAAATAAGCTTATGTGAAATAACTCATTTGCCAACCATTGCAAAGTGACAAGCAAACTGGTCAGTCTAAAGTAATTTCTAAGTTTATGCTGAGGAATGTGTATGCTTATACTCTATCAGATTTATACATTATGTTTATTCCTTAGCCAAATTCATATCATATGTTGTTAGCAGTTACCAGGAACACTAATAGCATAAAAATTCTGTACTGGCTCTAAGATAGTTATTCAATTTGTTATAAAGTTTGTTTTTCTTATCTACTTAAGATTTAGTCAAGGGGTCATAAAGAGTAAAAAGAATGCTCTAGAAATGGAAACTGGAAAATATTGTCTTGATTTCCAAAAGGTGGAAAAAGAGGCACTTTCACCAAACTATAGGATGGTAATTCCTATTATTCTTACAACAAAAAATGCAAGAATGAATTATTAAAAGGGTGATTTGTGAGCATTTAGAATGAAAAGTGCTGGTAACTATGAAGGTTTAAATAAAACCAGATCAACCTTATTACCTCCTTTTAAAAAAATGACTTTCTGAATGAAAAGATTAGAAGTATTCCATATCAATAATACATCTGCATTTTAACAAGATTTTTGACAGTTTTTTCTAGTATCTCTGTGGACAAAAGAGGAAGATGACAAATAAATGACAATAAACTAAGGTATGTTCAGAACATGTTGATTTGCTGGACCAAAGAACAATATTTAATGAACAGATGCTAAGCTTGAAAGAGGGCCTTAGCTGTAGGCTCCTGTCTTATCTCAATACTATTCAAAATTTTTAAAGACATGAAAAGATTGATAGCTTACTTAAAATTAATAAAAATAGCAATAAAGACTCACATTTGTATGGTGTTTTACAGCTTGGTAAATGCTTCATGTATATTAGCTCATCAGCTCCTCACAACAACCCTGTGGGGATAGTGCCATTATCAAAAAACTTGGCCCTGGAGAATTGAGAAAATGCACCTCCCTCTCCTTTCCAAGGGTGAGGGACAATGGGCATTAACGTCACAGATATTACCAGAATTGAGAGATCTCTGGCTTTTGATCTGATTTAGTCTGGTTATATTGAACTCTTTTTTTGTTTGTTTTGTTTTATGTTTAATTCTTTGTTATGAGAGATGACTGACTTGACAGGAAAGAAACAAGGCTTATGTAAGGAAATGAAAACAACACAAAAGCAATATTTTTGGTTTAATTGAATATTAGTTAAATTTTCAATTGGATTTTACCTATTCTCACTGATTAGGTTACTGTTGTGGGTTTATAATCTGCAGCTTGTATTTGAATCTCCCTGGGAATTCTAGAATAGAATTCTTTCAAATAAATTGTCGATCACTTAACTTATTAACTAAGAATTGACTACCAACAGCTACAAAAATAGCTCTTAATCTTATCCCAGGTTTAGCCATGGTGCCTTTGGGTTAAGGTTTTAATATTTTAAGTTAACATTTTTAATGGTCTGATATGAATAGAAACCTTTGAAATCTATTATTTTTGAATTCTTTGTAAGAAAAATTACTACTCTGTGAAATAGATCTATATTACTTACATTATCCAGCCTTAAACAGAATGGGGAAATACTTTATGTAATCTTCCTAATGGATAATAGTCTACTTTCTGGATGTGCACCTAAAGAAGAGATGGAGGATGGATCATGTGATTTTCAAGGTGGTAGAAGAGTTACTGCTTTCCAGCAATTCCAAAATGGGAGAAAAAGAAGTTATTCATCAAGAATAGAATGAAGAAAACTGAATACACATGATATGAAGAGAGGAGTTGTCAGGGTTTGGGGAGGAATTAGCACAATGCAAAAGCCCAATGAAACCACACTGAAGAACTTAAAATACTTATTTCTCCCGTTAAGTATCCACACCGTTCAGCTTTCTTGGTTCATTGATTCAGTGAGAATGTCAGTCTATAACTCAAAAACATTTATTAGGTGCCTATAATGTATCAGGAGCTATGATAAGCCCTGAAAATCCAAAGAAAGCCAAAAGTCACATGGGTAGGCTTATGATTCAAGTGTGAACTTACTCATCAATAACACAGAAATATTCAGGGGTTCTAACACAACACTTTCTTGACCTGGGTATCATTTAACAATGGCTAAAATTCATGACTTTAGGGGTGTGAAAGCATTTACATTTCTAAGTTCATTTAATCTACTAAAAATTCTAATATACATAGCATAATGATCTTTTCAGGAGAGGTAATGTGTGTGTGTTTGTGAGGTGAGGGGAGCAAGCACACTGGCCTTAGAATAAGAAAGACCTGAGCTCAGATACTGCCTCTGCTATGACCTGGTTTGATGGCCCTGGAAAAGCATTTAAAATCTTGGTTCACAAAGTAAAGCTCTTAAGATTGAAAGCTGTAAAAGAGTTAATGCAAAACATTACTAGAGGGAGCTTCCTTACTGAAAATTCCCTATCCCAATGAAATCATAGGTCCAGACACAAAAAGCAAAAAGAAAAATAAACAAAAAGTTCTTTCAACATACATAACAGTTTTCCAGTATTCTGTTTTCTAAAAATATGGCATAGCTCTGACTGTAAGCATCAGGAATTCTGAATCCAAAAAAACCTGAAAAAGCATCAGATGACATGAAATTAGTGCCATCATCTTTCTTCTACCCCAAAGACTGGCCATGCTTTCTAAAAGTTTTCTACTTCTGAAAACAAAGAGTGCATATCTATAATTGGAAAAGCCTGATTCATTATTATTACTATTATTAATAGCATTAATAGAATGACAATCTCTTGAGAACAAGGTTCCTGTCACTCTTCTTACCTACCCGGTAGAATGGTGCCTAGCACTTAATGGGAATTGATTGAATGAATGAGTGAATGAATGAAATGAAATATAGGTCTAGATTTCTAAATTTCTAATGCAATCTTTGGGATATCAATGGAAAACTAAAAAAAGTCAAATGTTATAAGCTATTTTTTTAAATGTCATGAACTATTTTTAAATGTCAAAATGTCATTTAAATGTGTGGCTTGTAGCCTCAAATATTTAGATAAAACATTTAGCCTCCAAAGTTCTCTGACTGAAGGAGTTTGTGTAAGCCATTTCAGCTGTAAGTTTCTCATCACAGTGGTTCTCTCCATGGATTACAGGCTGTAGATACAGTTTGAAATCGATTATTGTACTTCAGTGCTAGACTAGTTGATTTGAGATGCTATTAAAAAGTTTGGAAAGAGAGATGCAATCTGTCTCTTAGGTTCCCAG